AAAAAACGCTGCGGTTCTCTATGCTTTGAGACCAAGTGGATTTATCTTCTACAGTCCCAAGCTCCACAAGGACTAAATGTAGAATTAGATATCAATTGTTTTATCGATACCAGTTGATCGATCTTTAAGCACTTTTCATGATCTCACTTCTTAATCAGATTACTTTTACTTTGCCTTTGTCTGTATTTCCCATTTGAGTGTGTAGATCATTTTTAAAAAAGTCGATGCACCTTTATCTCTTGATCGCTTTAACATATTCGAATGCACCATTAATCTCAGTACATTTGGTTTTATAATTGTATATTTTATGGGTATTACTTTTAACCAGATGGTTTTTAATCCATATGTTTGTCATATTTGATGTATTTGGTTTTTATTCAGTGCCAGAATCACTTCATATATGAGATCCCACTCATTTATATTTTTATAAACTTGCCTTTCACCAGGCCGTTTTTTTGCTACAAGGGGGCACACAGTATGGTCCATGCATTACTATACTTGCCCGTGCGTTTTTAGGATTGCAGTATCTTATTCCCAGTAAGATCACTGCAGAATCAACACCTGTATGTCCATATATTCATGTCGGTCTTCTTTAAAATGGCCGCCGCGGACGCTACTGCGCATGCGCGAACGGCCGATCGCTACTGCGCATGGCGCGAACCGGCAATACGGTGCCGCCGCATTGCGGTGTTTTTGGCGCCTTTTTAGGTTTAAAAACACCACACTTAACACTGGCACAGTCCCCTCTGATGATGTGTACTTACACGATACGCGTTAGGGAAGTGCCAAGCTATGTTTTATCTTATGTACATGTACCTCCGGTCTGGCCGTTTATAAGCAGCTGTACCTTTGCTAAGTAAGTTCTTTTCTGATTGTTCATTTTTAAATAAACGTTATCACACTATTTGAGGCCTTTTTCCACGGGCTCTTTATTTCTGGGGAGCCTGTAAATCCAGTAGGTCCTGGGACTGTGCCTAACAAGAACACATCTGCAGTGACATCCCTGGATCCGTGATACAGCTTCTCCTGGAACCGATGACATCTAGTGGTCACCCTATAGACAACACCCACCTGATCCATCAACACAGTGGCTGGACACAGCTTCCATCCGGACAGATGACATCTAGTGGTCACCCTATAGATGACACCGCCTTGCTCCAGTGATACAGTGGCTGAGTACCAGGACAGGTCTTAAATGTCCCATGCGCTTTAACATGCGCTAATCTGGTCAGTGCATTACTTGGCTTTTCTTTATCATTTCTGATATCTACTATCCCTGGCTCCTCAAGTGTTGGGAGACTGTATACGTATTTAGCAACGATCTGATGAACTGACGCCGTCTTTTTTGCCGATCCACATTCATATGGGATCTATCTTATGTGTAATCATTGTTTTAAGTTAGCGCTGCACTTTCATATTTTACCATTTTACTCTGGAGGTTCACGAGGTGCCTTTTAGTGCCAGCAGCTACCCTATCTACATCCACATACTGCGCTCGATTTTATATATATATTTTATATATAAGTTTATTTTATCTCTCTCCCATTTCTTGTTTTGCTATGGGACAGGAAGAGAAGGGAAATCTCTGCAATGGAACACAGATGGCGAAAAAAAATCTGACAGGAGTTATAACCTTCCCTTGCTCTATCCAAAATGGAAAAAGTTTGCCCATACTACTTTAAAACACTTTTATAGTGGCAGTGAGCCTGAACTACAATATAAAATACTAAGTGCATGAGCCATATTCACAGCTATCATCTTAACCTACTCTCCCAATTTCATAAAACTATTTATAGAGAATGCCATTATTAGTGTTACCAGAACTTGGTGCTGTACCAAATATGAATTGGATGTGAGTCATGAAATGCAGACTGCAATTTGACTTGGATCTGTCACATGAACAGCACACTGCAAGACCTCATCTAATGACACATCAAAGCCTTAAAGTGAAACTAAAGGCAAAACTTTTTTTTCTCAGTTTTATATGGAGAGGGATTTAGCACCTGTCAGGTCCTTATTGCTGTCTGTGTCCTGGTTTGGGAGATTCACCCTCTATAATTCCCCTGGTGACTTCTATCAGTGAGAGTGAAAGTGAAAACAAATTCCAAATTTTGGGTTGTCACCAGAACAGGAATAGAAGGGAAATCGTCCAATGGGGACACTAGTTCTTGTGACCCTGGTCCCTCACTAATGCCCCGTACACACGATAAGAAAATCGTACAAAAAATTTCACGGAACCACTGATTGAACGATTTTCTCTTCGTTGATGAGCAGGATGTTTTAACCGATAACGATATTGTGAACGAAAAAAATCTGCTTGAACAACAGTGAAAAATGTTGTCGTTTTTGTATATGAACGACCGATTTCTATGCGGTGGTATGACGGTCGTACGAAAAAAAATCTATCAAGCGCTATCACACATGAGCGGAAACAGAAGATGACTCGGATGTTTATGTCCAAGGAATCTTCGTAAACACGAACTAAAAATCCAAATGTTAAAAGTAGATTGGCCTAATGAGATAATGAGACCAGAATTCTGCATGTTATATGTTTATGTATCACTATTTATGTATATAGATAATGTAATAAACTATATTATACTCATTGCTGTTAATTGTTGTGTATATTGCTCATTCTGGCCGGAAGGGCGTGGGTACAAGGTCACACGCACACTGCATCACTTCCACTTGTACGGAAGACGTCAACACTATGTATGCCGACGAACAATTTTTTTAGATTGGTTAATGTGGGTCACGATTTCGACCAATGAACGAATGCCTCTCGGTTGTCGGATGACTGATTGGTCGATTTTCTAATCGTATATTCCCACCTTTAGGGAACTTTCCCCTAATGAGAAACAGATGGCAAAAAAAACCCCCTGGAAGGTCATAACCCTCCCCCCCACCCTTACCCTATCCAAATTTAAAAAAATATTTGTTTAACTTTCCAGCTTCTGAATTTTGCTTTAAATGAAGTGGTTTTGTCAACAAAGTAGCTTTAAATGGCACACCTGAATATTATATGGCTCATTTGCTTACTGGACTCCCCCCCCCCCAAAAAAAAAAAAAAAATCAGTTATGCAGAATTTCTTGCAAACATTCTAAAATTCACTATAGTGTCATCCTACATCAGATACAAGAAAAAGGGATGTACAGAACAGGTTGGGTGTGGATTATTTTGATATTACTAATATTGCAGAATGTGTATTTTATAGATAAAACAATATTTATTTTATTTACAACTTGCACATAAAATGGAAATGTTGTGGTTTATTACTGAACTTTATGATTCCTCAGTGTGTCATTACATGTATGTATGCAAAAAAAAAAACAACTCCGTTTTTAACTATAGTAGTGGAAACTGTTGTGCTGGGAACTTTTGCTCTGTTCTGTTGGTATTTGCATCACCTAACTGTATATAAATATTCAGGATAATATTATTTTAATATTGCTCAAATATATGTTAACCACTTCAATATCAAGCACTTTTACCTCCTTCCTGCCCAGGCCAATTTTCAGCTTTCAGCGCTGTTGCACTTTGAATGATAATTGCGTGGTCATGCAACACTGTACCCATATGACATTTTTAGCATTTTTTTCACACAAATAGAGCTTTCTTTAGGTGGTATTCAATCACCACTGAGTTTTTTATTTTTTCTAAATAAAACAAAAAAAACTGAAACTTTTGAAAAAAAAAAAACACTTTTCTTTGTTTCTGATATAAAATTTTGCAAATAAATAACATTTCTTCATAAAAATAAAAGCTGATGGAAAGGCTAAAAAAAAGCTAGAGACAAATGATGCAACAGATGATATTTTTCTCTATTGGCTAATAAAAAAAAGTAAAAGCTCACAAATGCTTAAAAACACTGTATGAAAATGCAAAAAATCACGCACGAAATTGCGCAAAAAAATTGTGTGAGAAAATTGCTACGCTCAAGTGTGAATGCGGCCTTGGACAGAGACAAGTACATACTATAGAGAGATATGCTTTGTTCATACTTCACTTTAAGCCTTTTTATGTAAATTGGATGTGGTTTTGAACATAAATATTAGAATTCACCAATAAATATAATAAGAACGGACAGAATATTTTTATTATTGTACCTTCTACTCTTGAATGAAAAAAAAATACATTTCCAACAGTTTCCACTTACTGGACCTGGCCTTATTTATTGAAACAGAATTGCAGCCAAAACCTTTCTTTCCAGTTTTTGAAACACTGGGTAAGAGTTTGAATCTCCAACAGGTTTTTAATTGGTGTTTGTGTTTCATAGTAACAATTGTGTCTTGGAGGAGAGGAATTGAATGCAAGGTCTTTGAATTCCTCTTTGATATATGTTTTTTTAGGACTGTGTACTTGGAGGAATGTCCCCTCACCCTTTTCAAGATTGGAGGTACAATGCTCAGTTTGAACCTGGTCCAGCGTCTTCATTTTGCTGTAAAACTGCTTCAACCTTCCATGTGGGTAACGACTCTATAGAACTGTCAGTGCATTCATCCAAGTCCCATTTAATAAATCAGGCAAGCATTGCATTTTTTTTTCAAATAGTTAATATCTTTGTATATAACCAAAATGCATAAAATGATCTTAAACATCTACTTTGTTTACAGTAATTTTACAGCAATATTAACATTTCAGTTAAATAAAAGAATGAAACTGTAGCTAGATATAAAGATAAGGCCTCAATTTACACCAAAAACAAAAGACGTATTGAAACTTTATACAGTAGCAAATTACATGTTATTGAGACAATCCTCTAGAGAGCATTAACCGTAAAATGTAATATTTAAAAACGGCTACATCATTCAATAACAGTTCCTCAGAGCAACGGCTTTTATAATATATTGCTTAGTTTTATACAAAGCATAGCTGATAGCATTTTGCTTATTATACATTGCTTGGGTAATAAGATTTGTCCAAGCCGACAGGTGTGTAACAGTCCCTGTGCCAGCAGGTACCACTGTGATGATCTGGGGTGGAAGGCACAATAGGCAGATCACAGCATATCTCTTGAATTGCGGATGGCACAACAAAGGACCATACTGAAGATCATACCAAAGATCTATAAATAAAAAAAAAAATGAATCAGTTAAATACATTTACATATGTATAAAGTATAAAATACAATTACATTCTAACAGGCAAATTTTATAGAAAATAACTTATTTTCTTAACCACTTGCCTGCTGGGCACTTTTACCCCCTTCCTACCCAGGCCTATTTTCAGCTTTCAGAGCTGTCACACTTTGAATGACAACTGCATGATCATGCAACACTGTACCCATATGAAACTTTTATCATTTGTTTTCACACAAATAGAGCTTTCTTTTGGTGGTATTTAATCACCACTGAGTGTTTTTATTTTTTGCTAAATAAACGGAAAAAAAAATACAGAAAATGATGAACAAAAAAAGTTTTTTTCTGAGTTTCTATTATAAAATTTTGCAAACAGGTAATTTTTCTCCTTCGCTGATGTGTGTTGATGAAGCTGCACTGAAGGGCACTGATAGACTGCACTGATGGGCACTGATAGGCAGCACTGAAGGGCACTGAAAGGCAGCACTGATTGGAGGCACTAATAGGTGGCACTGACTGGTGGCACTGCTGGGCACAGATTGGCAGCACTGCAGGGCCCTGATGGGCACTTGTGGGGCTGTCAGTGTGTTTACATCGTGATCACCTGTGATTGGACCATATCATGTGATCAGCTATGTCCAACCCACATGGAAGAAAAATATATTTGAAATATACTTTAAAAATATTCTTCCCAAATATATTGACATATATTTGAAATGCTACAATTTTGGCCATATTCAATATATTTAAATAAATAAATATTGCATGTCGAAATGCGTTTTTATTACAAAATATATGAAAAATACATTTCAAATATACTGTATTTTTTTAAAAATACATATCTACATTTTTGGAATGCATTTACAAATATATGTAAAAATATACGTTAAAATTAATGTTTTATATGTTAAAAAAAATCTGAAGAATATATTTTTAAAAAATATATTTTTTACCATATAAAAAAGTAATTTTAACATATATTTTTACATATATTTGTAAATGCATTCCAAAAATGTACATTTGTATGTTTAAAGACATACAGGATATTTGAAATGTATTTTTAAAAATGTTTTTCATATATTTTGTAATAAAAATGCATTTCAACCTGCAGTATGTATATACTGCAGGTTGGAGTAGTGTATCTAGGAACTACATATCACAGAGGAACTGGCGTGTGGGCGGGGGGGAGATATATATATATATATATATATATATATATATATATATATATATATATACAATTGCTCAGGAGACTGGACAGGGAGTGAGAGGGGAGATATCTGGAGAGAGGACTGTGCTGACTGCTGAAGGACAGGACTAGGCTGCAGAAAGAAGAAGAGAGAGGCAAGGGGAATCTGCTGATTGCTGAGCTTGCCGCTCTGTCTGGAAAGCTAATTCGCCAGCAGGTGACCAGACAGGACGCTGCAAGCGGAACTGGAGGGTGCATGGAGGCTCCATCAGAGGAGAGAGAAAGACAGCCAGAATTCATCAGATGCCATCTCTCGGGTGAGAGAATACCAAGCATTACCAAGGAAAGGAAACACTGATACTTGCTCCATATTTGTTACGTTGTGGACATTGCACATAGTTATTACAAATTGCAGCCTAGTTCCCTCAGCCGCTATTGCTTGACCGCATTCAACACAGCCTTGTCATCAGAACTGACAGGAGGACAGCCATTCCACAAGCCGAGCCACAGCTGTGTCACCACCATCACCAACTTATTCTTTTAAAGAATCCTTATCCCATTGCACCAATAGTCTTGCAGTCTAGAGAGGAGCTACTCTGTCTCTGTCTCGGTAATCACTTCTGCCAGCTTAACATCTAATTGCTTTAGATCTACTAGTGGCTTTAAAGGGGCATTGCAACTGTCAATTGCTGCTTTCAAGGTGAAGTGCTGTTCTTCCTTCGCTGCATTGCTTTATTCTTCAGAGATCCATTATTGCACCAACTGGGCCACATCATGCACTCAAAAGACCCTCCACTGCATTTATGAGAACACTGGTTGTTTGGGGTAAAGAGCTCTTTTCTTTTTTTAGGCTACCGCCCTGCCATCAGGTCCTGGGGGCCCAAAGTGAGCTAGTCTACCTGCTTAATAGTTCTTGCTGCTCACTGGGGACTGTAAATCCACTTCAGGTTAAAGATATTGGGTTAGTCTCTGAAAAGCAGACCTGCTAACATTAACTCAGACCCTGTGATAAGTGTTGTCTTTTCTTAATTTAAGCTGACACAAGTGACAACTGACTTTGCACATGCCAATACCGGTTTTGCTGTGTAACCCGATTATATTGAAGTTTGCTATAAACCTCTTACTAGTTTACTTCAGGCAGTGTGCGAGCTTACTTTCTGGTGGTGATTTATTCCAGTTAAGGGTGTGTTACTGTGATGTCAGCAGGGGTTGAGCTTTCAGAGTGGGATTCAGAGCAACAGAGAACCCGAAAATAACTCAGCAACTACTAAGGGGTAGGGATACACTTAAAATAGAACAATCCAATATTTTTAACATGTCTATATGGCTTTTAATTAGTGCTTCCTACCTGTAGGCACCGACAAACTATTTAATGGTTCAAAGGACCCCTAAAACCAGATCTCCTGGGAAGGGGCAACTACTTGCCTCCTGTGAGGGAATAAGTAAATAGTACCTAAGCCCCCCCACCTTTGCAAGCATGCAGCTTGCTATCGACATAGCAGAGGCCTGCATGCCTGATGCAATCTTGTTATGGGAGAACCAGCTGCTCCATTGCCCTGACAATAATGATTGGTGGCGAAACATGTTGGGAGGGGCCTATCCGGTGATGTCATATACATGCTGATACTTGAGGCTTTGGTGTCTGTTTCTTAGGTGCTCCTATACTTCTTATGTTTGTGAGTATATGTCTGCTTATTTTAAATAAAAATTTTTTTACGATTTAACACCATTGCGGACCTTTGATCTTCTTCTCAGGAGAGAATATCTGTTTATTGCACAAGAAAATTTCTTCTGCTGTCTGCTGCATTACCCACATGGAAGAAAAATATATTTGAAATATATTTAAAAAATATTCTTCCCAAATATATTGCCATATATTTGAAATACTTTTAATATTTTGGCCATATTCAATATATATATATATATATACAGTTGTGGCCAAAATTATTCAACCCCAATGCTGTAAAGGGGTTTAGGGACTATAGTGTACATTTGGAATTGTATTCAGAATCAAATCCTACAAGGACGTTGTAACTACCCAAATGCAACTAAAATGACATCAATTGTTTATGTAATACAGTAGTAAATGGTTCTTATGTGGTTTCTTCATTGCCACAATTATTCAACCCTTAAAGACTACCACTCTGAAGAACAGAGGTTCATACAGGTGCTTTCCATCAGGTATTGAAAACACCTGTGGATGTCACCGAGCAGCAATCAAGCATAATAAGCACAATTATTTAGGCAGCTTTTAAAATGATGACTGTGATAATGTCAGCTCCTTCTAGACATTTACTGGTGTGGTTTACAAACATGGTGAAGGCAAGAGAATGGTCCAGGAAGACAAGAGAAGAGGTGATTTCTCTTCACAGGAAGGGCAATGGCTATAAGAAGATTGCAAAGATGTTAAACATACAAGAGACACCTTAGGAAGCATCATTCGCAAATTCAAGGCAAAGGGCACTGTTGAAAAACGCTACCTGGTCGTGGCAGAAAGAAGATGCTGACTTCGACTGCTGTGCGCTACCTGAAGCGTAGAGTGGAGAGAAAGTCCCCCTGTGTGAGATATACTGAGGAAAGGAAAGGAAACACTGATGAGAAAAGATTTGTCACGTTGTGGACATTGCACATAGTTGATTACAGAAGTTGCAGCCTAGTTCCCTCAGCCGATTGCTTGACGCATTCAACACAGCCTTGTCATAAGAAGGCCTGACAGGAGGAAGAACCATTCCACAAGCCGTAGCCACCTGCTGTCTCCACCAAACCAACTTAAAAGAATCCTTATCCCATTGCACCAATGTCTTGCAGTCTAGAGCTCAGTCTCTGTCTCGGTAATCAAACCAGCTTAAAATTGCTTTAGATCTACTAGTGTTTAAAGGGGCATTGAACTGTCAATTGCTGCTTTCATTAGAAGTGTTGGGCCTTCGCTGCATTGCTTTGTTTTCAGAGATCCATTATTGCACCAACTGGGCCACATATGCACTCAAAAGACCCTCCACTGCATTTACTGAGAACACTGGTTGTTTGGGGTAAAGAGCTCTTTTCTTTTTATACCGCCCTGCCATTCCTGGGGGCCCAAAGTGAGCTAGTCTACCTGCTTAATAGCTTCTTGCAGCTCACAGGGACTGTAAATCCACTTCAGGTTAAAGATATTGGGTTAGTCTCTGAAAAGCAGACCTGCTAACATTAACTCAGACCCTGTGATAAGGTTGTCTTTTCTTAATTTAAGCTGACACAAGTGACAACGTTTGCACATGCCAATACTGGTTATGCTGGGTAACCCGATTATATTTCAACAGTTTGACTATAAACCTCTTACTAGTTACTTCAGGCAGTGTGCGAGCTTACTTTCTGGTGGTGGTTGCAGTTAAGGGTGTGCTGTGATGTCAGCAGGGGTTGAGCTTTCAGAGTGGGATCAGAGCAACAGAGAACCCGAAAATAACTCAGCAACTCCTAAGGGGTAGGGATACACTTAAAATAGAACAATCCAATATTTTTTAACATGTCGCAAAGCTTTTAGAATAGTGCTTCCTACTGTAGGCACCGACAAACTATTTAATGGTTCAAAGGACCCTAAAACCAGATTCTCCTGGGCGAAGGGGCAACTACTTGCCTCCTGTGAGGGAATAAGTAAATAGTACCTAAGCCCCCCGCCTTGTGCAAGCATGCAGCTTGCTACGACATAGCAGAGGCCTGCATGCCTGATGCAATCTTGTTATGGGAGAACCAGCTGCTCCATTGCCCTGACAATAATGATTGGTGGCGAAACTTGTTGGGAGGGGCCTACCGGTGATGTCA